GTGCACATTTATGTGACCCAAATCCAAATCTCAACAAAGTCAAAATGTGTCAAAAACCGCGGGTGCATTTATGTGACGTGGTTCGAGACACGTTTTCACGACGTTGCAATTCTCTTTAAAAATTATAATAAAAGCGGTTTAAATTTAAAAAGCACATAAGTTAAAACATGTGTTAAAATCAGATTTTTAGCCAATTATAATAATTTAAGAGACCGTGCTAGAACCACGGGATCCGGGGGTGCCTAACACCTTCCCACGGGTCAACAGAATTCCTTATTCAGAATTTCTGGTTCGTAGACTCCAATTGGGAAGTCGAAATTTTCCTCGATTTGGGATTTAAATTAAATCGGTGATTTGGGACACCAAAAGCCCGTCCTGTCCCAAGTGGCAACTCTAAACAATAAATAAGTAATCCCATTTCGAATAATGTCACTTTAAATGAAAAAACTCCCTTATACATTATCCTTCGGGGTAGGTGTGTAAAAGAGGAGGTGTGACACACTATTTTATCGAGACAAGGGAGTTGCATCGGGGGTAGCCTCGTAATGAATCAGACTCAAGCTCGAAGACGAGGCATCGAGTCTAAAGATCGAAGTGTCCGCTGAGACCGAGGCCAACAGCAATTGGGATTAAGTATGACCGACTTCGAGTGAAGTGCAATAACAGAAAGGCGAGATATTCGTAATCGGTAGAAGATCACGGCAGAAATCTCGGAACGGGTCAAATCAAGGGCGGTTATTTGTATCAATCATGGGATTTACTTCCATAATAGAATTGTGCCACAATTAGGATTTCTCTAGTATATAAAGAGGGGTGCCCATCATTTGTAAACACTTTATATTCACGAATATTAAAACAATATAATTTTTCTCTCTTCTGCTCATCAACTTACCGCTCTTTAACTATTCTTACTCTACGAAGCTCGAGGTTTCATTAGCTCGAGGGCATTGACCAAGCATTGGTATGTTTTACATTATTGTCAATTTGCATCATTTATTGTTACGTTTATCAATTGGTATTATCTAAATTCACATATCCTTAAAATCACATTACAAATTTAATTGTTCCTCAATTGTTAGGGTAAACACCTTGCTAACAACTATTTGGGAAAGGGTGGGGAACGGATTTTTGCTTAATTAAATGTGTTTTCCCTGAATCACCTTGTTTAAATATTGGAAATATCTAGGTAGATATTTTATTCATTAACAGTACTTCATTTTATTTAAGGCAGCCTTTGTCATACAAGATATGACTCTTTTTTCTTTTCTTTTCTTTTCTTTTCTTTTTTTTTTTTTTTTTTTTTTTTTAACGGCTTTATTCTGATTGTAATTTAAAAAGATTAATTTGAATTCCGTTACGTAGGACCCACAAAATGGGTAGTACTTCATTACAAGATTTTCCTCCTCTAGAAAAGAACAACCTAAGTATCAAATCAAACTACTCAAAAATAACATAGATTTTGAATTTTCAATTAAATATAATAGATTGCGCCATCAATACTCTGAGAGATACAAAAACAAAAGATCAAACTGGGGGTTGAACTGGGTGTTGACTTGACTCTTGTCCAAGACTATCAATAACCTCTCCAGCAGATTTACTGATACCCATAACAAGACTATCACTATATGAAATTTGAACATCTTGAACCCCTACCGAAACAAATTCCTGCTCACAATTCTTAGCAAAACTAACAACAGAGTCAACAGATTTTCTGGCTAGTTCAAATTTCTAGTCTTGAACATATGATAAAGCAGTGGTGAATGATCCATGAATACCACCATACCATTTGCTACATATATTAAAAGCTGTTAAAGCAGCAGGGGTTAAGTCTCCTTTGTTAATTTTATGAGTTATGTAGTCTTCAGTAACTGATGCATGATCAATTCCTGATTGAATAAGGGAACATGCTTTCTTAAACAGATCTGAGTCTGCTTTGCTTTGGGATGTCAAAAGCAATAGGAATGACAAGAAAAGAGGGACAAGAACTGAAATATTTCTTGAAAAAGCCATTTTTGCTTCTTTTTTTTTTCTTTTGATTTGAACATGTGATGCTGAAAGATATTATATAGGGACTTGTTAGAAAAAGGTTTGAATGGCCTGCCATCATATGAAATCCAGCAAATCTGATTACTAAAATCTCACCATAATTTCTTAAGGATATTTATTTAATGAGGTTTGTCACTCAGCTTTTAGTTTCAATGGTTAAACAAAGAGTAACCAAATGATCATTACATATTCAAAATAGTCTGGTCAGGGAATTCTAATAATATTTTACTCTACTAGCATTTTTACTTCTTTTAATTATAATTATCTCAATGTATGAAGGAAATACTTTTGCAGTTTCTTGGAGTTTTATCCTTTCAAACTGGGGGATAAAGTTGTATACTTCTTTGAAGTTTAAAGAAATATCCAAAAAAAAAAAAAAATATTGGTAAAATAAAGAAATTGTATTACCAAGCTGTTAAATTGTACGGCACAAAACTAAACTGGCTATCGGAAGATTGGACAAAGCCCCAGTCAGTTACTCAGCTATTAAAAACCAAATTCAGCTAATGCTAAGGATACCAGTTCAAAGCTCTCATTAATCAAGCTCTACCTAGATTTAATGAGATAAAGAAAAATTGAAATAAATAGTAGATATGATCTCAAGTTTAAGAAAATAAAGAAAAATAGTATTAGCCACTTTCAAAAATAACAGCCGATAGGATTTGACTGCCCGATCTATTATGGTATATCCAAGCAATTATTGAGCTTCAATATACTTGGCCCCAATGATGATCCTAAACCAAACCGAGATAACATTTTATATCAACCGATTAGAAGATACATATATATAGGGGATAAATGCACTTTTGATCACTGATTATTGGCAAATTATGATTTTGATCCTTTGATATTTGATTTAGCATATTGAGCTTTCAATTAATTAAGATCTGCGTATTTAGTCCCTTTGTGCAGGGAATATGTTACATAGATCAACATAAGTTAGACCACGTTATATATATAGTTTTTGTGTGGATGTTTAGTAGGAAGATCTAACTAAGAAAACAAAAGAACTTATGAGTTATGATAGTAGCATTGAACTCATTTGGGATACTTTATATTATATCCCAGGGACGGAGCCAGTTCCTTACGTGTTCGGCCAAATCCAGTAGCTTTGGTTCAAACTCTATAGTTATCTTAAAAAATTTATTGAATATGTATAAATTATTAATTTAGAACCCAATAATTTATAATAACTAGAATCGTAAAACCGTAAACTTCAAATTCTGGCTCTGTCTTTGTTATATTCGTAAGTCATTTTAAGACGAGGCTTGAAATAAAATAAAAAATCTATCTTGATTCATTGATCTTTTCAATTTGGTTTTATAATAGTTTTGCATCATTATCCATCTAAGATTTAGCTCTATAAATTCCACCTTATATATTTATGTACATAAGATGATCGCTGAAATATTAAAGGAGTTCTTTTGTCACTACAAGAAAACACCTACTTTGTAGGGGTTTTTTGGTCAAATTGTGACGGTTTTTGACCCCCAGTAAAAGAATTGTGGCAGTTTCTAAAAGTGCCACAGTTACCTTTGCCACGAGCATTATTGCGGCGAATTTTTAAAACCTCCATGACAAACGCCACAAAATGAATTTTTAATTTGCGGGGGTTTTGAAAGATAATTAGTGTCAGTTTTAAACCCCCGCAATATGATTTCAATGTGTCAATAAAATAATACTGCGAGGGTTTTGTAAACCCCCTCAATATGATCGTAGTGGTTCAAAAAAAATATTGTGGGGGTTTATAAATCCCCAAAATATGGTCTAAATATTTTTTTTTAAAAAGGTTATATCGGGGTTTATAAACCCCCAAAATATGATCTAAATATTTTTTTAAAAAAAAGTTATGTGGGGGTTTATAAAACCCCAAAATATGATCTAAATATTTTTTTTAAAAGTTACGTTGGGTTTATCACCGCTACAATATAATATTAGTGTTTCAAAAAAAAAAAAAAATAGTGACAGTTTATTTCTGCCACAATGTTTTTGTTGTTGAAAACTCTTTTTCTATTTGAATTTTTTGTATTTGTAGGATTAAAGAAATAATTATATCAAATAACTTACAACATAAAACAAAATTCATAAATAATCACCAGAGTGACAAACATTACAAATTCAAATCCTCATGGAACTAAATAAATTTTTTATCATGAGGAATGATATATGATAAGCCTGTTAGCTTCTCATGCACGATCCAAAGCTGTTCATATGTTGATGGAAGCTCAGGATGGAGCCGTATGAGGCAGAAGTCTCATGTACGGTTCTCCGAGAAAGGAGCGCCACCTACTAGATCCTCGACCAAGCACAAAAAGAAGCTCCGGATATTTGATATCTTTTTCTTTGAATAAGATCCAATTCCAGCTATGGTTTCTTTAGATACCTTACAATTAGATTCCCTCTTTTTTTCTGATCCAGTTCCTCCACCAATGAGAATTCCTGTTAGATTTAGCTTGTACTTAACTGGTCAATGTCTCGCTTGGGATAACAGTGTGATTAGAAGAATCTTAATATTTCTTTTGCTTTTGATGTGCTCAACTCTCTTGTTATCTTCTCATATTATTTGTTGCAATTATCAGGAACCTGAGGTTGCCTTCTCAGTGCCCCCTGCATCATGTGTCGATGATTGTTCCACGTTGCTTGGTTTCATTTTGCAAGGAATTACTGAAATTGACGATCTTTTGAAGCTAAAGGTCTCAGAGCTGATGCTGGTCCGGTCAGATCTCAGAGCTGATTGGCATGCTTGGGAGGAGATAGAGGATTTATCTATTTTTAACTGTATCAAGAAAGCTGTTAGTCTAGACAGGAAATTTGCTGTGAAGAATTTTCTTGGTTTCAACAGCATCCCACTGTAAGCCATTTACCAAAAAAACTCATAGTGTTAGCACCTAATAATCTATTAAATCTTGGTATGGATTTCACAATACAAATCATATAACTATATAGTATAAACACTAGACATAAGCTGCATCCAGCATTGAGGTGATTGCATTCTAAATATAGACACATACGCACGAATAGGCTTCAGTCATGATGTTTTTAAAGGAAGTATTTTACTGAAGTAGTACTGAGCATGTTACTTTGACCAAAAAGTAAAGAACGGACTATATATGAATACAAGCTTATGTTTTTATTTAAGACTAACCATCTGTAGAGCAGATCTTAGCCAGGCATGCTGTAGGAGATCTGAAAATGCTCTCATCATGGTTGCCTGACCAGAACGCCACAATTGACTTGAACCATCCTGCTCATTTTCTTCCGATGCAGAGTCTTTCCAACACTGAGCCATCACTGCTAGTGATGCAAAGCCCTGTTCCACCATCTATCAGATGCAAGTCAGTAATTTAAAATCCCAACAACAACAAAAAACCTAGTGTAATCCCACAAGTGGGGTCTGGGGAATTTCAAATCTCAATATGCCTTAAATTATATGTATGGATGGGTTTGTTTTTTCTTAATTTCACATTTGGGTGAACAGCGAGGTTGAATCTAGACACGCCTATGCACTCATTACCAGATCAGCATAAAAAAAAGGATTTAAGATTGTGTTTCAAGGTACTTCAGTTACAAGAAGGAATCATAAAGTTTAGTCCTATTCCTATCAAAGAATGACTCTGGACCATGTGACATGATATGCAACGTGACTAGAAAAGATGAAGTTTCAAAGCAAGCAATCCAACCTATAGGACTTCCATTTAAACTATAAACAATGAATATTGAACCACATAGCTCCATAAAATATTGAAATCTGCACAAGACACGTTCTCATTTTCATGCCAGTTACCAAAAAGAAAATTACAATCATCAAAAGATTTGCTAAAGAATAAAAATACAAATACATCAGATACATAAGAGTGCAATAGTTGTTGTACTTGAACATAAGAAGATACCTGAGGCCATGGCTCCAGATCTAAAGGTAACTTCTTTGAGATTTCTCTAACCAACAGACAAACAATATCTGGAATATGAGGTGCAATTTTTTCATTTCCAGCCTCGACCATAGTACTTAGAAGCTGAAAGTAAATGGAGCTATCTTCTTCTTCATCACCAATCCTATGACAAACCACCTGAAGAAGAGGTAGCCACTCAGGTGGCATGTACTCATTCTGCAGTACCAAAAGTACAAGCATTATTTTCACTATCATACTTCAAGTGCATAAAATAGGAGCCATTTTAGCCACTTACTTCTACAAGTTGAGCAATGGCAGCAGCAGCTGTCACCCGCACAGGATAACAAGAAACACCCCTTATATCTGACATTGTTAACGCTTTCACTAATGAAGAATAAATATCAGCACTCATACCCTGTTGTGGAAAGAAAAAAAAGGGAACTTACTCCACACGATGCCTAATAGCAGATTTATAGTTAAGAAGGTATCATCAAAAAAATTTATCTCACATCAGAAAGACATGAAGCAAGCTCTCCTAGGACCCAGTTTGCAAAGGCAATCAAATATGGTTGAGGAATTGATGTTTCATACAGTGGTAGCACCCGAGTTCTGACTAGAGTGTCCACAAATCTAGGCTTCTGCTCTGTTAGAAACTGAGAATACAGTGATAGATAATTAACTAAAGTACATAATCTTTAATTATGAAAAACAAAATTTGAACTACTACTAGTATGATCTCTCCTTACATCCAAAAGGCTGCTATAGGCCATCAGGACTCCATAATACCTATCAAAGTTTAGACAAGGAAATGAAAGTAAATCTCGTACACAGCATACAAGCATGATCAAGGTTAGAAAAAGAAAAAAAAAGTCTGCATAAATGGCAAAACAAAGTAGGATAATTTTGTTAATAGCAGACCTTAGAGTTCAAGAATTATAGAGTAATAAGATGATGCTTAGAACAATAACAGAACAAATAGCCTTGACCATAATCATAATGAATTTTAAATAGTGAACTTTCTGAATAGGTTCCTGTTAAATAGGTACTGAAGTACAGTGATATAACCAACCATACATATGGAACATAGTAAGAGACAAAAAGGATATCCAAATTGCAAATGAGTGGCCAATTGTGATGTGTGCAAGAAGCATTCCTAAAGCCATCCAAATCATTATAGCAAGANAAATCAATCTTCTATTAAAAGAAAAAGCTTCAAGGTCAGCCAAAAAGGTTAAAATTATGTCAGACTGCTTAAAACTCTTTTCCAAAATTTACCCAACATCTAAAATGGGTGAATTAATAACAGACCAGAAAGCTACTGCAATTGAAATTTCATAATATTCTAGTCAGAAGGACAAACAACTAAGCAGTCAAGAAGAAGATAATGGACATTATAACATTGGAGAAAATAAGTAAATTACACTTTGAAAGTATTTAGCAGGTAGATTAGTTAAGAAGCTTAACTCCATAAGATTTTACAATCTTCTGCTGCAACATTGAAGACCAACAAATATATGTGTAAGAGATGGAGAACGGACATGGACCATCTGTCAATCACCACAAAGTTGTGACTAACCTGTAGACTTTGATGCTTAATCTATTTTCCATCTGATGCGTTACCCCAGGTATGTTATAGCATTATTTGGAAGCTGAAAGTCAAGAGGGGGTGGTAAGAGAGTCCACAGGCAATTTGTGAACTACATGGAGGGAAAGAAATAGAAGAATTCTTGAAGGAGAGGAAAGTATGTGTTGTGCTGCTGTAGGTTATCATGCTTATTCTTTGGTGTGTCGCTCATAGGGACTCCCCAACCTATAAAGATGATTGGACCGAGTTTGCAGAATGGAACTCTTGCACACGGGATTGTTCCTTCTTGTCAATAAAATCAATCTACTTATCTGACAAGGAAAACGATTTTATAGTCATCGGTAATTGGAAACACACGTGGAGGTGAAAAGTTCGTTCATGATGACTAGGATAAATGAAACTGATAAGAAATATTAACTCTGCAGGTTAGTTCCCACAAAGTTTAGTTTACAACAAAGCAAGAAATATTAAAATTTCTGAAACCTTGAACTCTGGACTCTGCTTGTTCATTTCACAGGGAACTAATTCATCCTCTAATAATGCTTCTTCAAGAATGGATCCATATATGCTGCCATGGTAACTTTATTATAGGAAAGAGATCATCATTTCCTTTTCTTTATGAAAAGGAGCATTTGCATATAGTTTCAAGTGGAAACAGAAATTGGCATCAATGTAAGTCTGATGGGAAATCATTTATCCTAGAAGGACTGAGGTGCTTCTGTAGCTTCGGCCTTTATAAAGAATCAAGGCATGCATTGTTTGACACAATAGGATCAATACGATACCAGAAAATTAAGCCAGAAAAGATGAAAGAAACCTGGCAACATGTGAACAAAACGCCTCCAACCATACCAGTTAAATCTCGCAAGAACCACTGAAATATTTTTAAAACCATTGTCATCACACCAGTTTAAAACATAAATTACAATGGAAAAAAAAAAGATGTGAACTCACCTGAAACGTTGCCCCAAAAACAGTAGGGGATTTCTCACCAACACCTATAGCACTTAGAAGAGCCTATATTTGTTTGAGCAGGTAAATTAACCTTTTGATATCATAAGTAACTCACAGTAATATTGATGTTCACTTACTTGTGTTGAGAGCATCATCCGCACATAGGTAGAAAGCCCCTGCATCAATCCAAATCAGCAACTGTAGCATTCAGTTCAGCATCATCAAAATTTAACGCTCAATATGCTCATCCTGCTTCAAATCATTCTTCTCAAACAGGCGATAAAGCACAAAGGCACCCTGCACCATGCAAATCACATATTCCAGTATGAACTACAGTCAAACCTCAGCCTAGTTTGTTCTTCCAACTACTCTTTTTTGTCGTCTTTACTCTTTCTCAGTTCTTCCAATACTTTCATTTTTTTTCAAGAGATCCTCTTGTGGCAAACAAATACGAATACCATAGATTAAAAAGAGGTGAATCAAATATGAATATCATTTTTAAATATGCCTTCATACCAAATATGAATACCATTTCTAAACATACTTATACATCAAATAAAATAATATAAATACTACTTAGGTATGCAATACTATTACCTTCAGATAAAGCAACATATTAAATAAATTTTCTATTCACACATGTATGTATCTGCTGCTAAGTTAGTAGCAACAATTGTCTCTACTACATCATCAATTATATGGTCCGTAGCTAGTTGTACATACTCATCACCGTCACCAAAAAACTATTCGAGTTCTTGCTCTTGGTATGGTTCATTCTCATATACTTCATCTTCCACTACTTCTTCTCCCATATCATATAGATCTCTTGGCTTTAGATGCATAGCAACACTCCACCCTTTATTGACAACATCATCCACATAGTACACCATTTGTGCTTGAGATGCTTCGATGTAAGGCTCATGTTCTTCACGTTCACCGGTATGAATCAATCTATCAAAATTAACACAATTTAAGTTCCAACGATCCTTTTTATACCCTCTATCTCGAGCAGTATCAGCCCATCTACATTTGAAAAGAACAACCTTGAATCGACCATAATAATTAATCTCAAGGATATCTTCTAACTTCCCATAATATGGTAACTCTGCTTGCCTTAAATTTCCGTCAATACTACTTGCAACACATGATGTTTTAGAAGTTAAGAAAACTCCACATATAAGACTTATACCGGGCGTCGGAACCAAAATCCGAGGCCGATACCATAGTCTTCTGATCAAATTTCTTTTTCATTTTCCTTAATTAATTCCAGAAAATAATTTCACACAAAAATTTATTTCTCGGGCTTGGGACCTCGGAATTCGATTCCGGGCATACGCCCAAGTCCCATATTTTTCTACGGACCCTCTGGGACCGTCAAATCACGGGTCCGGGTCCGTTTACCTAAAATGTTGACCGAAGTCAATATTAATCATATTAATATCAAAATTCATCATTTTTCTCACAGAATTCATATTTAAGCTTTCCGGCTACGCGTCCGGACTGCGCACGCAAGTCGAGGCAACCCTAAATGAGGTTTTCAAGGCCTCGGAGACACAGAATAAGTAAGGACACAAGTGATGACCCTTTGGGTCGTCACAACTCTGCCTTTACCAGAACTCTTGTTGTCCATCTTGATATTTCTCTCGAAAGTGAAACATACAATTGTTCGTGCAAGAAAATATACTGCGATAAATATAGTCCAATATTTACGATGTTTGTCCTGTGCTTTATTTATTATATTTGCAAAATAAAAACATACTAAAAATTATTTTCACACAAATTTAAAAGGATATCCTTAGTTTCGGAAGACGAAAGTTGAATTTAGGGATAAGAATATACTTAGAAGCACATTAACCAGTATCATAATTTTTGCATGTATGACGTTATTGTCAAAACTTTTATATATTATATGTGTGCTATTACATAAGCTATTCGGCGTATCTAAGTTTTTCAGTAGCATGACGGGCATATTTTTCTTCAAATCTAACCTATACACAATGGAAGATCAATTTTAACTTAGTCTATTAATATACTAACATTTTTACTTTGTGTTCTAACGCTCTTTTTATGGAATAAAATTATGTACCTTAAGATTTATTTTTTTATTTGAATAAGAATTTTACTCATATGATAAATTTAAAAAATAATTGAATTGGATTATCTTGCTAAATAATTAATTAAGAAAATTTATTATTTGATGTTAACATAAAAAATAATTTACTGTATGTTCATTCAAATCTTAATATTAGTTCATCTCTTGCTTTGAATATTTGATCTTAATTATAATTTTATCCACCATAAATTTTATTTTCAAAGAGTAAAATATTGATATGATATTTCACTTTTATATCTTTATGTTTGTAGAATCATAAGTGGTATTGACTCCTACGAACCATTTTTTCCTCTTTCTCACACATTTATATTCTTAAATTTTCTTAGTTGTTGTTTACAATTGGGTATTTTTCAATATATATACGAAAATTGATAAAAAAAAATTTATTTGAGTAGAAAAATAGTTCAAATATAATATAAAAATATATTATCGCGGGTGTATTTTTTTTTCCAATTTCAACTCTTTATGCAGTCCATTTAATATTACTTTTATATTTTTCTTGGTATTGGACATTATGGAGTGGTAATGTATTGCCAATACAGAGGATTCTTATGAAATTAATTTTATTAAACCGTCCTACATTTTTTAATAATAATCTAATAGACAAAATTTTATTAATTTTAAAATCTTAAATATTAAAAATTAGCATATAAGGTATTATAGTCCAAAAAATAGGTTATTGCAGTTATGTACTATTCATATGAGTTCTTCCATGTAATAATATAGGGCTATTTTGGTATATCAATATTGTATTTATGCTTTTATAATAATATATGCTCTCCTTTTTCTAAATAAATTTGGACAATATAATACCATTATCAAATTAAATTAATAATAGGACATTATCATACGTTTTCAAATTAAATTAGTAATAGGAATTTTTAAGAAGTATATCCTAAAAGTAACAGGATTACTTTTGTTGAGCCACACCTCAACTTTTGTGATGACTCATTTTGCATTATTCTTTTGTTACCCAATGTCATGGTCCAACGCCAGTCACATTCTTTTTTTGCACCTTAAGGTTCACCATACTCGTGTGGTTAGATATTATGTTTAGTATTTATGGATAGACATTTCGTATAATCTAATAAAAAACCTATGAGGAATAAATGAAATAGATGTCTATTTATTTTTTGCTAAAGATAAAGAGACGAATTATAGAAATGTACAAAGACAATAAATGAAAAACAAGCGAGCAAGACATAGAGAGATCATGAAAGACCTCATATCTTCTTTTTGTAGTTGAAGAAAGTGAGGAGAAAAAGATTACAAACTAGAAGGTATAGATATTGATGTAAATTGCATTAATTCGTAGTTGTTTTAACTAAAATATGTAATTTGATTAAATTTTAAAGAAATAAGTTGAAAAAAATAACTAAAAATTTGCATGAGTCAAATTTACTAATTGAGAACATTGTGAGTGTGAATATCATTAGACTATTTCTTCTAAATTAGTAATCAAAATTTGTATCTTATTGTTATTGGTCTTCATGTCTTAAACTATTAGGCTTTTATTATTTTGCTCTTTAAAAGTATTTTGTATATACATGAAGGAGTAATCTTTTAAATTATAGTGTTAATGAACTTTCTTGATTAATTACTTTTAGGCAGGTAAAATATATCTTCATATATTTTTAAAGAAATTATAATTTTCTAATTGTTTGAAAATTAAGACATTATAGTTGTATCTCACATCAACTTTATCACTATCGTATTATTTATATTTGTAAAAGCATACTAGATATGTTTGTATGAGTTCTTTATTTTCTTTTTAAATTTCTTAAACTTTAATAGACTTTCTATTTATGCGTAATTTTTTATTAAAAAATATTAAAGATATATGGGGCTTACACATCGTCCCGTAGTAAAATGGCTCGCCTCACACACCCGCCTTTGAAAATACTATTTGAATGTAGAACGCCTGCTATGATGAAAATAAAGAAAATTCGCATGCTAAGTATTGCAATTATCTATACCCCTTTAAAATTTAAATTATATCAAGCAAAATAAAAAAATTAAATATTTATGTAGATAATTAAACTACTTGGATGTCTCTCCTGCTGTCGTTCATCTGATGTGTCGTCGTTACCTATGAATGCAAATATTATTTATGGTTAACCTAAAGCATATTTTTTCATTTATAATAGGCGTCGTTGACCCTTCATTTTGTTCAGTGAGACTCAGTGAGTACCTGATGTATTCAATTCTCTATATATTTGTCTTCTTTTTTGGAGACAAGTATCACTTGTGACGGTGAGACTAGCTTGAATCACCGTTCATTCCTTGCTTTTGTTAACTTTTGTGATGGCTCATTTTGCATTATTCTTTTGTTACCCAATGTCGTGGTCCAACGCCAGTCACATTCTTTTTTTGCACCTAAAGGTTCACGATACTCACATGGTTAGAAATTATGTTCAGTATTTATGGGTAGACATTTCGTATAATCTAATAAAAAACCTATGAGGAAGAAATGAAATAGATGTCTATTTATTTTTTGCTAAAGATAAAGAGACGAATTATAGAAATATACATTGACAATAAATGAAAAACTAGCGAGTGAGACATAGCGAGATCATGAAAAACCTCATATCTTCTTTTTGCAGTTGAAAAAAGGGAGGAGAAAAAGATTACAAACTAGAAGGTATAGATATTGATGTAAATTGCATTAATTCGCAGTTGTTTTAACTAAAATACGTAATTTGATTAAATTTTAAAGAAATAAGATGGAAAAAATAACAAAAAATTTGCATGAGTCAAATCATTAATTTGTATCGAATTGCAACAATTTCTCAAACAGCTGAAATTGATATATTTGTGGAGGTTATCAAAAACCTTCGCAAAAAACTGCCATAATAAGAAAAAAATTGAGGAGGTTGGAACAAACGCCACAAATTAAATATATAGTAGGGGTCTTTTATAACTCCCACATTTAAACCGCCGCAATAAGAACTATTTTGTGGGGGTTGGCTCAAACGCCACAAAATAAATGTATAGTGGGAGTTTTTTATGACTCCCATAAATAAACCGTCACAATTTGACAAATTTTTTGTAGTGTGTCTTAAAATCTGAATAATATACATTACTGAAAGTAGTTCTTTTGATCTAATCGAAAGAAGATACTTGATTTTAAATTTGACCTATTGAGATATCAAGAAACAATATTATGATTACTTTAGTCTAAATTTAATACTATTAGGTTGAATATCCCACCTCACGAGAGAATCTCATTCTCTTTAAAATATTAATATAATAATTCACAGGTCAAGTGCCTCTGACTTATTTCGTAATTATTTATTCTTCTCTTTGTGTTCCTATAAAGAACACAAATTTAGCACTAGTCCAGCTTTTGGGGAGGCTTTACATCAACCAAAATAGCGTCTGCACCCATTACGGCCAGTGACACCTTTTTGTTAGCTTCTGCAAATACAGGATCATGAATGCGCGCCGACTCTAACACTCTACCACAATTGGCTGCTTTGTCAAGATTTACCTTAAGCTCGTAATCTGTTGTATCATAAGCATAGCCTTGTTGATATCTTATATTCTTGACACTTCTTTCCAGTCCACTAGCCAACTCATTCCAATGGTTTTTGCAATGGTTATAAGCCTCAATAGCTTGTGGACT